GCTTGGATGGTTCACGAAGCTCCCTCGCTATAATCAGGTCCCGGCTGGTGGTGTCCAAACGTACCGGCAGAAATGAACCACTGATCCTTTTGGAGAGACAAACCACCCTTGACTTAAACAAGCCCCGCAGATAAAGTCCCAAGGAACTCACCAGCGGTGCTCATTGCTGCTAATCCCCAAACAGCCCCGTCTGTCTCTCAAGCTTTCCAAAATGCGACAGAAGTGTGCTCAAGTTCTGCCTGCTTTAGGATTAGGTATGACCAAGTGACCTTCTTCAACCAATAATGTGAATGGCAGTGACGAGGGCTGACTTCCAGACCAAAGCTTCAGGAGACGCTGCACCTTTCTCCTCACAATGTGAAGCCGGTATGTGGAAGGATAGATAGAATTGGAGTCTGAGTTTCACCCAGCAGATTTTAAAAAGAAAAACACTGAAGAGGCTGGAGAGATGACTCCGGGGTTAAGAGCTCTGGCCGCTTACCCAGAGGACCTGGGCTCGGTTCCCAACCCCCACACTGCTGTTCAAATCCACCTGTAACTCTAGTCCTGGGGAATCCAGCTCCCTCTGGTGGCGTCCAAGGGCGCTGCATACGTCTGCTGCAGTAGCATTCACACAAGCAAAACACACAAAATAAAAATACGTGTTGTTTTTTTTTTTAAGTAACACTGAAGACATCCCTGACTTTTACACACATTTTTATTCCAATCTCCTCTTCTCAGAAACATGATATAGAGATATGATTCATACATGCATGCATACATACATACATATGCATAGCTTTTATGGTTTTATAAATGAATATACAAATCCAAGGTATTTTTTTTAAACCACTGGGTAGATCCATGAGCAGATATTTTTCAATCTATTTGTTTAATTGGGTATGCAATTAACGTAAGATTGCTTTTTATCAGTTAACTTAACCTAATGCTCACTAAAGATACCAGAGAACATTTCCTTGGCCACACCCGGGCTCTCTCTGTTAGAATCTAAACCTTTCTTTAATTGTACGCCTTTTATTGTTTCATTCAGTCAACGTGAGCCTTACATCTAACCAGAGAAGCCTCATCCAAGAGATCAGTAAGGACAAACATGAAGGCAGGAAGCTGGGTCCTGGGTGGAACCATGAGCCACACAACTTCCTGCCTTTTCCCTTAAGCATGTGATGAACGGGGGAGGCGGGGTTGGCACAAGCCCAGTCATTCTGTAGCCAAATCACTTAAGTTCTTAATTTCTCTTTTGCGATGAGCTTCCTTCAAAAGATCCCTGCAACTCTGTTCTTGTCACTAAAGTTCTTTCAAAAGCGAGTTCCGTGCCTAATCCTGTCAGTGCCCTGGTTGTTAACATGGGAAAGCCTTCAAAGAACATGGTGCCAAGGTGAAAAGCAGGAGGGCTTGTCCCTGTCTCATCTGAGAAAGATGTTTGCCAGCTGTGGGTAGAGCTCAGTGTAAGGGAAGATTAAGGTGGCAGTGGTTCACAGGGCTGCAAACTTCCGTAAAGTAAAATGGCCATTTGCAAATTGTCCAAGACAAAAGACAACTTTTCTTTCCTTCTTTTCATTGTATTTCCTGCTTTTCAACTTCCTGCCCTATCTTCCTTCTCCTCCTCCCCTTCATCCTCCTTCTTTTCACCCTCTTTCTCTTCCTCTTCATCCTCCTCGTCCTATCTTTTGCTCTTCTTGTTTCCTTCTGCTGTTCTGTCCTCTGTTTTTCCTTTTCTTTTTTTCTTCCAGCACCAACTTCAAGCAGAACTTCAAGCTGATTTTAATGCACAAGAATCAAACAGACGTGAACTTTCCTTCCTTTTGGCTTTTTTTTTTTTTTCTGTTTCCTTGGTTTTTTTGTTTGTTTGTTTGTTTATTTGTTTGTTTGGTTTTTAGCTTTTGTTTCAGTCTTTGAAGGGGGGTGGCCTCAAAAAAAAAAAAAAACGGAGATGGCCTTTAACTCCACAGACAAAAAGGAAATTGAACTTCTGATCCTTCACCTTCCACTTTTCTGAGTGCTGGGATTGCAAGATACATCACTAAGCCTGTCATTTGCAGTAAGTGCTTGCATTGAACCTCTGGCTTCATGCATGTTAAGCAAACAATCTACACTCTGAGTTACATCCCTGCCCCGTTCACTTTTCTAAAATTCTTTCCGTTGCAAATGCTGAATGAAACACACCCCGTTTTATCTCTAGGACTCTAGATACTGCTTCAGCCCATCTCCACACCAAAGAATCTCTTGCCTCCCGCCTCTTTCACCACCTACATCTCTGCATTTCAGCTCAGGATATGCTGCCTTGGAATTACAGCTAATTGGATGTGGAGTATGTCCAAGAGAAGCCTTGATGTTTTCATCTTTATCATCGTCCTCGCCCCCATAGTATGCCTTTCTCAGAAGGATTTTTACTCTGGATAGGGATGGTCTGCTGCTTGACACCCAATTTGTGGGAGCCCCTCCCGGTGGGACCTCTGGCCTCCTCTCCACCTGGAATTTTAGCCACAGGCCACACACAACTCTCCTTCCCTCACCACATTGCTCATTCATCACACTCTGTCCTTTTCTTTTTTTTCCCCCCCCATGTGTTTGTGTGTGCGTGTGTACATGTAGGTTCACATGGTATGAAGATCCAAGGTTGGTGTTTCTCATCTTGTAGAACATTTGACCTTTTCTACAGCCATAAACTAAGGGAAATTTGAGACCAGGTTCCCACCTGGGTATCAAAGGTTGTGAGCCAGCAAATCTTTGAATCTCAGCACTGTAGATTCCCTGTTCTGAGCAATGGGAAAAGGGAATCAGAACAGTAAGCCCAATTTCTCTAGGGTCCTCAAGGAAGTAAATGCAAACTTCATTTATAGAGTAACTTCTGTGCAGCCAACATTGGGTTAACCTTCACCAACATATCATTAAGCCATACTCTTTCTTTATTTATTTAACTGTGTGGGATAAAGGAGAAAGCTACACTGCTAAATGTAGTGGATGCACTCCCCATGACCCCAGCATGGAGACACAAGAATCCCTGGAATCCATAGCCACCCAACCTAGTATAATCAGTGAGGTATAGGTTCAGCGGGAGGGAGACCCTGTCTCAAAACACAAGCTGGGAAATGACTGACGAAGATACCTAACATCAACTGACCTCCAAACGAACATACACACGTATGCACGCACGTGGTGGGGGGCGGGGAGAGATAGAGGAGAGGAGAAAAAAATTAAACAGTAAGGTGGTTTATTATTATTCTTTTCTATAACATAAATGATTGAAGTTCAGAAAGGCCATGTAACACACTAGGAACAAGACTCAGACAGAGTTACAATTAAGGACTTAAACTAAAGCATCATTTTTAAACCCCCCAAAATTTGGGGGAGTTTAGCTTACATCCATATCACCTTTTAGTCACTTTCTTAAGTTTTCAAACATTTGTGTTCCAATTCGTCACACCCCAAACTTCCAGTAGCAGCCCTTGGAGGCCACCAACCAACCCTACTGGGACGTGAAGCCATTTGTGTCCCTGCCAAGTGCCCCGTGCTGAGTGCTCCAGCCACTGCAAGGCACGAGCTTTGATTTCTTATACACATGTCTGTGAGGACCCTAGACATTTCCTTAGTCTTTTTATTTCAAGTGGATGTTTATCCCTGTAGGTTAAAAAAAAAAAAGTGAGAGAGGGTAGCTCTGCCCATACACCTGCAGTGGGCTCAGATAGAAACCAGGTGAGCCTCACCCATCTGCCTGGCTGGCCCGTGACACTGTCAAGGTGTTGATGTGAGTTTCGTAACGGCCAGGGCCAGGCCGCTTCATGATCCTATCTTCTCAGAGTTTGAGCAATTCGTGTGATTTCTGGCAGCCCTTATCTTCCTTCTTCTGCTGGGAACGTGAGCAGCTGATCGACGGCAGTGTTCCTGTGAGACTCGGAACAGCTTGTGGCTGCCCCAAAGCTTTCAATCTGAAGGTTCCGGGAACCTATCTCCCACTCAACCACCAAAACAACCTTTTCATGATGATACCCGTTAATCCATCTTTGGAATGACCCCCCTCCCCCCCGAGGCTTTTCTCTTCCTTGAAATGAAATCAGGGGCCTGAGAAGACAGCTCAGTCTGTCGGGGGCTCGAAGGCCTGAGACAGCATCCCGAGAATCCGAGTACAGAGCAGGGGTGCATGCCTGTAAGCCCAGCCCCGGGGGAGGGGTGGGAAGAGGAGAGAGAGTCTGTGGGAACCTTCAGGGCCGAGTCTACTCAATTGTCAAGCCCTAGGTTCAGTGACAAACCCTGTCTCAAATTAGGTGGATTGTTACAGAGGAAGATGTCCAGTGTTGACTTCTGGCTTACATACACACACACACACACACACACACACACACACACACACACACACACCACATGCAAAATTTAATTAATTAATTAAGTAAGTAAGTAAAACAGTTCCTCCTCAGAAGTAGTGAGCCCTGCCCACCCCCAGCCAGCCACTCCCCCCCCCCACGCTGCCCACTACTGCTCATCACTATAAACACGCTACCCCCTCATGTTCCAAAGGTGCAGCTTTCTCTTGACTTACCGGTGCTCTGTCTGGTATGTTCTTCCCCTCTGGATTTTTCTTCTCTATTCTCAGGTCTCAGCACAAATGTCTCCTACTGGCAAAACAGACCCTGACCATGGTCCCTAATACTACCCAGGCCTGGATCCACCTCTTTTTCCTATTCTCTTAGTGCTGATTCTGGCCAATGGCTGACACCAGGAAGAGGCTTTTTCTATGAATTAATGAATGAATGAATGAATCTTTCTTCTAGTGAGAAACACTGTTTAGAGTTGAGTGAAACAGGCAATTCATATTTTCATGCCAGAATAGAAATTTATTGGGAGGACAAAGGATTTGTATTGCATCTACAAAGACAAAAAGTGTGGACAAAGAAAGGCCCACTTAAGTTCTGTTTCACAAGTGTGTCAACCAGCTCTCCCATACTCAATGGAATTACTTACAAATCACATTCCCATAATTTTTATTAAAGCATAACATTGGGTATGCAAATATGGCTTTGTGTCAGTAGATAGTACTTGATCCTATCATAGGCTCCTTAAAAGACAGACTTTGTATCTCCTTCCAGGATCGAGGCAGGAAATGTGCTTCAGGCTGCAGCCGACCCCGAGAGCCAGTCTGTCTTTGTCCGCTGAGGTCTTGGGATGAGATGGAGTTAAGTTGGGACTGGTATCTTTGTCCCCCTTCTGGCAACGGTATCTCTAACGCACAAAAGTGTTGCAAGGGCCACACCAAGATCTTGTGACACAAGGGTTAGAGACACAGGGCCCGATGGGCTTGTCACATGCGTTGGTTGTGGCACAGGGATTGCAAGGGAGCCTAGGAACAGAAAATCGTTGGCAAAAGTTAGGGCAGAGTGATAAACGCACGGGAGGACATTAAAAGCATAATGTCTCCAAGCAGAAGTTTGAAAGCTTAAGTTAGTTTCCACCAGGTAAACAACCCATACCCCTCCCAAGGAAAAGTCCCTTAATCCATACTCACTTGCAGTCCTCACTCTCCAGCAGGCTCCTGTATGTGTTGATCTCGCACTCCAGCCGTGACCGGATGTCCAGCAGCACCTGGTACTCCTGGTTCTGACGCTCCAGGTCAGCACGGATCTCCCCAAGCTGGGATTCCACGTTGGTGATCAGGCACTGCACCTGGGCCAGCTGGGAGCTGTAGCGAGCCTCGCTCTCAGTCAGAGTGTTCTCCAGGCTGTTTCTCTGGGGGAGAAGGAAAAGGCTGTCACAGGGCTGTTCCCTCTAAAGGCTCCTATGTGGCCTTCCAAAGAAGCCACAAGCTTCAAGAGCTAAGCAGAGGGAGAGTCCCCACGGACACCCCAGGGCGTCCCCCAGACTCCACACTGCTCAGCACCAGGTCTGACCAGCACCCACC